ATCTCATGGCCGCCTCATTTGCTTCTTGACTTGCACTCCAAGTTCTCTGGATCACGTTCGTTTCAAAAATCACACTCCCGAAGGTTTCATTCCGTTTGGACTCTGTTTGATATTCCTTTTCTTCGAAATACTGTATTAGGCAAAAAAACAGCAATACGGGCTGGGCCTCCGGTTAGTAGGTTAGTCCAAAAATGATATAAATGTGTAAAATAAAGCCTATAAACATCCAAAACAGGTACTATAATAGCATGAAACAATCCAAAATTATAGATACGTTGGAGACGTATCAGTCGCCGACACGGATCCCTCATCGGGTCTCCTGCTTCAGATCTGCCACATATGCAACCTCCTCCACCACGGCACCACTCGCTGATGTATCCACAAGTGAAGATGCATCCCCGGTGGCCCAACACCGCCGCCCCCTCGTAATGTGGCCTGCAACGCCTTGGCCGGCGGCTTCTCCTCTAAGGTAACCCACCGGTTCCCTCCCTCTACTTCTCTCCCCTTCTCTATGTGGTAAGTTGAAACTTACCTGTTAACAACTGTATCATCTTCTTCAGGTTTCTGATGCGCAATTTTTTTTAAGCCGACACGATTTTTTAAATCAAACTTCTCACGTTCAGATCAACTAGTACTAGGAGCTAGCAGTTGAGATCTTGAGCTGTTGCATAATGGCAAGAACTGGGACTCAATCTGGCATTGCAATTTTTGCCTTCTTGGCATACATTAACCAGTCAGGCTGCTAAAATAAAAATGTTGGATGCTTTGGTTGCCTGTATGTACAGTTACACATGGGCCAGCTACCCGCAAGGTTTAGCTCTGCTTGTTTGCTGATCTAATGATGTGTGCTCAACTAATTGCAGGGATATGTTGAGCAATCTTCTGCGGGGATGATACCGGCGTCATTCGGAAGCCTAACTCACCTGCGGTTCCTGTAAGGATCCCAATCTCCTTGCATTGCCTACAACTTTAAATGACGCAAGCTACTGTGATCAGTATACTCAGTGTTTCAACCATTCCCTTGTATTGTAGGGGGGCATATTTGGTTTGATTGCAAAGCCGAGTACTACAGCAAACAAGGGTACAGCCGCTGCACAACAGACCATGTACGGCCAGCCATGTTGCTATTCAGGTTGGATAGTCACACCTGTATTTCTGTCTTATGAATATATGCATCATGCCTTTACATGCTTTGAATTTGAATGATCACTATCAGCATCCTGTAAAGATCAGTTTCACTCCATGGTAATAATTCTAAGTATACGTGTTATCATCATGCAAAGAAGTAAGCCTTCTCAACCAGCTTAGTGATCAAAGATTGAATATTTTTAGTTAATAGATCGATCAATGTGTCAATGTGTCCCAGTTTGGCTGTTTCATCTGCTCCAGTGCCATCTGATGAGGTGCCTGGATCTAGGTTCTATCCCCGCCTTTGTGTCGAGTCATTCAATTTGTGGTCGCATAGTAGCGTCAGTGTTGTGTACTAATGTTTAGCACGGATGATGTACACACGGTGTGTCTACACGCGAGACTATCTAATCCCACCCAATTAATGGTTGTTTTAATCATGCTGCTAGTTTTAATCATGGATATGGGAGAATGCATGATGGACATGCTAGTTCATTAGGAACTCTGCATGATGCTGTCCTTTGTCTCATCATCTTAACTACTACAGTAGTAGGAGTATTTTATATGCTGTTCATTTCTTGGCCACCCAGCATGTTTGCTAATCATCCATCTGCCTCATGTTATATAACTTTATGTTGTTCATTTCTGCCCCCAGGTATGGCACAGGAAGGTGCGCCAGAAGCGGATGCGCAACAGCGAGAACGCCGTCTCCACGCGCGTCATGGGCGCCGACCGCGCCGTCCACCTCCTCCACGACCCTGACCCCGACCCCGCCCACCCGCTCCTCCCGCTCGCCGCCGCCAAGATCCTCCGCGCCCTCGCACTCCAGGAGACCCCCGGCCTCCTCATCCTCGGCAAGCAGGTTCTCAGATCGGCCTCGATTCAGTCAGTTTTTTGCCTCATCTTTCATGGTGTCTGACTTGCTTTGCTTCCTGCCTGCGCGTGCAGAGTGCTCCCTCCAGGTGAACTCGCCCACCGCAGCGCCAAGGGATTCGTCTCCGAGGACGAGTTCCTCTCCATCCCGGAGTTCTCCACCAACCCGCTCTCCCAGGTCTGCCTCCCCTCCTCCTCTCATCGCGAGGCGGCAAATTTCGTTCCCCTGCTCGCTTTGTCCCTGTCGTTCCAGCTCCAGATGACTGACTGACTGTAGTACTCGCGCGTGCCGGCGAAGCAGCTCCTTCTTGTTTTTATGCGCTATCCTTGGATTACACACACTACTTGCATGTACTACTATTTTCCTAGTAGTATTGTATACAACTCTGTCACCACTCAATTTGGATAATAGTTGGGATTCCTCAGGAAGGAAGTATAATGGGGAAAAAACTAATCATGTTCTTGGGAGTCTTAAAATTCCCTCTTCATTCTAATGCAATCTGTTCACATAGGGCTGGGATGACTGATGTTGATACTACTGCAATGATTACAACCTTACTTGAGATGTTTGATTGCTCCATGCTGGTATTCCTAGAATAGGGATCACTAGCATTACTATAGTAGTGTTGCCATTTGCCGTATCGTAGTTGTCTCATAGTGCTGTTAGCTTCAACGAATCTGAGTGTAGTATACTCTAGAGAAGCAAATGCCACTCTTGGCATTGTGTGTTTGTGATGTCCTGCATGCCTTCAGCTGTTCTGACGCTTATGTGTGTTACTTGAGTCATGTATGAAATGTACTGAGATTATCCCTTTCCTTGAACAGGTAAGGAAAGTTGACATGCTTGACGGTGTGACAATCCCGCGGTCCGAGAAAGTAAAGGATGAGATCATCCTCGATGGCAATGACATTGAGCTCGTCTATCGCTCTGCTGCCCTTATCAACCAGGTTAGCCCTTGCCTAGGTGCTTTTCACACTGAAAACTTGCATCATAAGTTGCCTAGATTTCACCTGTGAAGTCTATCTCTGTATGACATAGTATGTGTCACAACGCCATAATTTTTCTGTATTATGGATGAACCTTTTAGCTGTCATGTAGGCGTTGTAGCATACCTTGTACTGATGGTATTTTCCACGCTAACATGTTCTGAGTGTTGATGCATCTTTTGTACTAGTTTAGATTAGATGGACAAGTGCATAGCCTAACCTAACCTGGAAAACAAGCTATAGAACCATGCTCTGCATCAAGTCAGTTTGAATTTGAATGGTTCATCGTGTGTAGGTGTGATCTGAATTTTGAATGGGTCTTTTGGCAGGTACTGGCGGAGGCCGGGAGCGCCAAGGCGGTGGCGTTCGATGAGATCGACCTTAGTGCTTGCTGCTGACATGTGGAGCAGAAAGCCACAGGAATCACCATCTCAACGGTCCGGCCTTAGTGCTTGCTGCTGACATTTTGCTGCTATTGTTCTGCTAGACATTCTGCTGACATTTGCTGCTAGTCAGGTCCTTGCTTGCTAGAGTCGATCTATTTATCTGCATTGTGAAGTAACAACTGTTCTTTGGTCCATGTTAAGATGTCAAGAAACTGTTTGTTTGTTGAAACAAGCATCAGCCACTCTCAGATACTGCTGACTGCTTTCTGTTGCTAGTATAGTCCAAGCTTCTTTGCCATGTATTTCATTAGGATGTGAACAATCTACTACATGCTCACAAAGCTATTGACTTAATTTTTTTTGTTTCTTTGCTGCCAATGTTTGCCAAGCTATTTAAACGACAATGACAAACTGAAATCATGAATACTCATATAGAAACTTGAACAACCATCTTGTTGAATTTGGTGATGTTCCTCCATGCTAAGAGCTAATCTGCTGCATTGTTATTCAACTTTCATTGACAGTTCTAGTTTCGCTGAAATCATGTTTTCTTTTCTGCTTGATCTGACATTATTTGTCCAAATCTGGGAGTATATTTTTTGCTTGTCGTCATCACCCATTTGTTGGGCTGTAGAAGTGTATCTGTTGTCCGATTTGCTCCATCATATTTCCTGATGTACTTTTACGTATATATGTTGGTTGTAATCTTCTTGAACGATCCAAGTACTTGATATTCCATTCTGTTCTTGTAGGTGAATGGAGCTTGTGTTGTTGGTAGAACACCGTTGATGACTTCTTTCTATGTTGAAGAGCAGCTAGTGTGGAATATTGTATGTTGATATTCCATTCTGTTTTGTGGTATCCAAGAGTAGCTAGTGTGGAATATTGTATGGTTATGTACGTGAAGAAGTGCGTGGGCATGTAATATTTGACGGTTAAACTGGTTGTTGTGATGTGAACGAGTGTATGGAGTTTCACATGTTCTGTTCTGTATAGAATATATTGTAACAAACCTATTTTGGTTGTTATTTGAAGATTTTCATATGCTTCTCTCTTCTTTCGGTTTGATATATACTGCTTATTAATAAGATGTGGAAAGGCGATTTGGAACCACTGCCAGGAAAAAATTGACAATTGGGACCCATTACTGGAGCTGACAAAAAACAGGAAATTAAAAAGAAATGTACCGCAATGCTCTAGAAAATAAAAAGTCCAAATGGTTGGGCCAGGCCCATGTAGCTAGAGAAAATAAACAAAAAAATATAGAGTAAAAAGGCTGAATTAATGGGCTCGGCCCATGTAAAACACTCAATCGGACCGGGCTGAATCTTGTCAACGACCTTTTCAATTGGTCGTAATTTTGCCACGTCAGATTGCCACGTCCATCCGACGTGGCCTGAGCAGACAGTCAGTGACCAAAACAAAAAGGCATGTGTTCAACAACCTTCTGTTTTGGTCGTAAACGTCTACGACTTTCTCACAGAGAAGGTCGTTAATTTCAGTTTACGACCGCCAGTTTTTGACCTTCTGTTTTTGGTCACAAAAAGGTCGCAAATGAAAAACAATGACCTTTCAATGACCAATAGTCAAGGTCACAAGTTGACATATTTCTTGTAGTGGTGGCCCGACGGGGCGACGGTGCTGCGGCCCGACGGGGCGATGCAACGGCAGCCTGTTGCTTGACCGGCGGAGGGGCGCGCCGAACTCGGGGACAGGGCGATGGTGGCAGGCATAGATCGACGAGCGAGCCGACGCACAGACGACGACCGTGAGGGGCCGACTGTCACACGTGGCCACCGGGTCGAGGCGACGGGCGGGCAGACGCACGGACGACGACCGTTAAGGGTCGCCTGTTTCGCGAGGCCGTCGGGTCGGTGAAGAGGCCGGCCGGTCGCGCTGGTGTCGGAGTAGAGGCGCGCGGGGGTCGACGGCGGTGGTGGCCGACGCAAACCGATCAAGTATAGATCGAAAAATCAAAAAGAAAAACGCCGATCAAAACGACCGGCGAGAGAGCAAAAAAAAAACCCGAAGCAAGGGCTTGGGAAAAAGACTCTCTAGGGCAGTCGGTCAACACGACCGGCGGATGAACCCTAGGTACGGGCGGGGCGGCCCCCGGCAGAGGTCATGGAGGCCGACCGCCCCAAGGGCGGCGCGCGGGTGCAGAAGCGGCGGCGGCTCGGGTTGAGAACTCGGAAACTGATACGATGTTAGAAGGGAGAGAGCGGTTCAACGGAATAGTTGTTGTATTGCTTGAGCCTCGTGGGCATATATATAGAAGTACAATAACCAGCTTGGAGTACAAGACAAAGCAGGTACAAATCCTAGTCTATCATATACTTCCTAATATACATTATGCTCAACATTCGCCTATGACGGCGGCACGCCTTCGACTCGCTTCATTGCTTGTAGTCGTCGCTAGATGATCTACGAAGCTGAATGTAATTTTTAATTTTTGGTGTTCTTTATACTCCCTTGACGTTGATGAATAGATTGAAAGTTTTCTCAAAGAAAAAACTATTGAATGTCACCACCCTGCACAGTGCAGACCTAGCAAATTGCAGGAGTGGAATCAGAATGTTATCAGACCCAGGAAAGGAAAAGGAAAGGCCCATGCCCAGCGCACTCGTTTAAAGACCATCGTCAAACAGCAATAAACGATGGTGGAGCCGACTCGTACCCATGTTTTTTATTTGAGTACAAACATCCATACCTCAATCGGTAAGGTCAATTTTTTTTGAAAGTACGCCTAGGCATATCATAACTTTATAGAAGGCGAAATTGAAATTACAAGATACTATCACTCGCTGCGAACAATGAGCGTTGCACACACCACACCACTCACGACCAAGATAATAGGCGGACAACACTTCAAAGCAAGTTACAACACAGAAGAGCCTATCCACAGCTGACACACACCGCGTCTCGACCGACGCCGGACACCTCCGAAGACCACCACCTACCATAGAACATCGCTTGTCGACGCACCAGCCACTCTGAGCGCCTAAGAGGAAGTGGCAAGTGGAAGGCAGGACTTGCTCCGATCTAAGGGAAGCACCATCTTGGAGAAACCGACGACGAGCGTACATAGCACCGCAAAAGACCAATAGAGGACAGCGGCGAACACTGGAGGAGAGCAATAAGGACCCAACCATGTCTCCACACACAAAGCTCCCAACAGACATACGACGTCGAGGACGCCGCCAATGTGCCGATCCAACATCAAATCGAGGCTTTCGCCCGGAGATAGCCACCAACTCCAAGTGAGCGAGGGGCATGGCGCACACGCCTCGGCGACGCCTCCAAGAAGGGAATGACACCCACTGTGCCATCACCGCCGGCCTGACATAAGCCAAGCAAGATTTTCATCTGCGCAAACGCACATCACCACACCTCCTGGAAATGGGCAAAGCTGAGGACCGACGACCGGTTGCACAACCAAGAGGAACCCGGCCACCGCACCAACTCCCAGCCTGAACAAGAGACTACAGCCACCCCGCACCTCCGGCACGGCCCAGGATCGTCCGCAACTGCCGACGCCCACTCCAAAGGCCGGCTTGCAACAGCCGGACCCGCTCCTCCGCAAAGAACCAAGCCGCGCCATCGAGAGAGCCCCGTCACTCACCACACCGCACAGAGGAGGCCGGCCACTTGTTGCTTGCCAAGACTCCATCTTGGCTAAGCTATTGCAGCGCCGCCACCACCAGCCTGTCCGTGGATTCGCTCTGCTGCCTCCAGATGATGCCGCCATCTCCCAAGCACACCACCACACTGCTGCCAGTCTTGTCCAAGCCCGTTGTCCTGCCAGGCTCCATGTCGCGCATCTGCCGCCAGCCTCCTCCACCAATAACCACAGATCTGGCTAAGACGAGCCCCGCCACGAGAGAAACACCGAGCCGCCACCGGCCCATGCGCTCCGCCACGACGACGCGCCTCCATCGGCCAGCGGCTGCGCTGCCCCACACCGCCACCGCTAGCAGCGCCATCCGACACGCCGGCCTCTGGGATCCGCCATCTTGAGCGAAGAAGAGGCCCCCCGCGGCCCCTGCTCCAGCTGAGGGCGAAGGAGATCCCACCGCCGCCGGCACCGCGCGGGCTTTGCCTGACGACGGGGGAAGAGGGGGTGGGTGGGAATAGGTTCCGGCGGTTACGTTTGGGGTGCCCGGGTCGCCCGCGGGAGGGGTGGGGGTGGGGGAAACGGTGCAGGGTACCTCACTCTGGCACCTCACAATACCGTCCAAATTGGTAAGGTTAAAAGGAATAAAGTTGAGGCCATGGGGATGACCTAGCCAAGTATGACGACCTTGATCTAAAGAGGGAGATAATGCCTAGCTAAATTACGAGCGGATGACGTGTGGCCCATCCAAGTGTTAACGGCCTCCGTGAAGCCAGATTAGTCGGCTGTGCACCTGTAGAGGTGGTTCTGCTGCGCCAGCCATGGATGCCGGGAGAACGGCACGAGCGGCATCGGCCATAATCGTTATCTAAGCTGTGGTGCACTTTTTTTCTGTCAGTCAGGGCATCTTCAACGTTCACCTGCAAACCTCTCTCTGGACCTCGGAAGCCATCTAATACGGGCCTAGATCGGTCCGCGGGACAGTCCGGACGCGATTTATCCCGCCAATCGGAGATAAAAGTGGGAGATTTGCTAGAGTCCGAACCGATCCTAGATCCATTTCTGACCATCCCCGGCCACCAAAAACCCCTCCCCTCCCGCGCGTTTTTGATCAGCGTTGCTACAGAGCATCAGCGCCCGCATTCATGCCCGGCCAGAGCAGACGCAACCGCTCACTTGCGCCGGCATTGGAGCGGTGCGTGGCTGGCCGAGAGAGCGCCGCCTGCGCCGGTCCCTAGTGCAGGCGACTGCCGTGCATTCAAATGACCGGACGGCCGCCCGTCCGCGGTTGCGAGGTGTCTCCCACGGTGCCACCCGTCCATCCCTCTGCTGCCCATCAGTGCTATATAAACCGGTGCCCCGACCATTCAACAGTCACCCCTCTCTGGATCCCCCCACC